GGCTCACTGCAACCTCCGCCTCCTAGGTTCAAACGATTCTCCCGCCTCAGCCTCCCGAGTAGCTGGGACTATGCGCGTGCCACCACACCCAGCTAATTTTTGTATTTTTAGTAGAGACGGGGTTTTGCTATGTTGGCCAGGCTGGTCTCGAACTCCTAATCTCGTGACCCGCCCACCTTGGCCTCCCAAAGTGCTGGGATTACAGGTGTGAGCCACCATGCCCAGTCAAAAGCTATTGTTAATGATACTTTGAAAATATGCCAACATAGCCTTTACTATAGTCTTTACTTCCAATAAAAAAATACTTTATAAACATCAGTTAAAAACTGTAGAATAATGTACATGCATACATGCAGAAATACATTTTATATATTTTGTTTCTACTAATCATAAAGAGGCAAAGTAAAGTTAATTTGTTTTTGTAAAAGCTTAATAAAATTTCCATGAATCCATTACCATAGAAGTAAGGTTTTTGGTGCCCATATACATATTCATGAAAGTATATATTTTTTGACATTTCTTGACCCATGTCAACAAATATATACTCTACATTTTCTGAGTGAAAGCTGTAGTATACTCTGAGAAACACAAAAGGTCTCTTCAAGAATTCAACTTGGTTGTTTATTTTAATTGGCTAAGAATGCTGTTTGGAATCTGAGAGGACAAAGCTGTGGGTAAGACAGCATGGTGCTGGTTCAAGTAACTAGACTGTCATGATTTTACACAGATTCCTTTAAGTTAATTATGTTACATCCATTAAAAATATATTAGATACTCACCACTCCACTACAAGACTTGGTTTTCAGGTCTATCTTGACCATGCCAAAGCCTATACACGCACACACAAAAACACAGTAATGTACAAAATGTGACATTCACTACAGTTTTTGCAACTCAGAAATTATGAAATAGCCTATAGTACCTTTCATATGAAAAACGCATTCATATGAAAAATTTCATTAGGTGAGAGTTCCTCAAGAAACTGAATTATAAACAAATAAATTCAGTATAATTTTCAAGCCCTTAAAATGAATAAAGATATACTTTTAAAATGTACGTTAAAGAAAAAAATAAATGAAAGGAATATGCACTATTCCAAGAATCAAAATTGCTGAAAATAGTGTGCTGCTGTATATATTGCTCAAAATATACAGCTAACATTACTAGTTAATAAGAAAAAATCAAATATGTACAGCACAAAAATTTAGGTTAAATTTTAAAACCTAAAAAATAATATTTAGGATCACAATACACATTACTTCAAATAAGTCAAAAGTTATGTTGTCACTTTCATAAAAACAATGCCATTGTTTGGAGGGAGGAAAAGTATTACCCCTACTTTAATTGTCCCCAGGGCTAGACAAAGAAGACATAAATGTTATATATATTATTCTACATTACAGGTAACATTAAATATGGACATATATATGCATCTGTATATGTATATAATTGCTTTTAATGCTTGAAAGGGGTTCTACCTCTAAAGAATGAGGTCTAATAGCCTGTTAATAGTTATCCCCTTAAATCTTGTGAAGTGGATTAATGCTGACTTACCCTTATTTTACTACCACAGTATTTACACACAGTAGGCATTCAACACTAACTTTTACCCCAAATTGTAAAGTTACAATAGCATACTTACCGTATCCTTTGTTGAAGACATCCTTAGCAGCCTTTCCTAGGTCACAGTAAGTTGGTGTGTTACACATATCTTATAAAGAAAAACAGGGCAAAGGAATAAAAATAACCATTTAGTATTTATTCACCCACAGTTCTGCTGTTTCATCCTATGAGAAGAAGTATACACTGTTCTCTTCCTTTGTATCATTGATGCTTTAACGCAATCAAAGGTATGAGATGGCAATCTGCTCCTTAAAAAATAGAGCTCTCCAGAATACTGAGAATAAAACAGTTTTCCCGTGAGATTCAGAGGTCATCTTTCTGACTGCATTTCAAAGAAAAGTAAGTTCTTACAGGATGAAAAAGATGCTATGTTAAACTGGACTTCTTTTAAAAATATATGCAAAATTTACCTTAGAAAAATCTCTCTCAGGCTCTTATGAAACCAAAGACCTGTATAAGACAACAATGGAAATTTTTGAAGAAACTGTTAAAAGATGCAATCAAAATCCTCAGGGTTAACATTTTTCTCCTCTGAAATTCAGTTCTTAAAATAAGAATTTACCATATGAATTGAAGTGTATTCATCTAGAATATATTTTCTCTCAAAGCTCTTAAAAGTGCCATAATTTTACCCATTAACCAGAAATATGATAGATTCTACCTGCAGCAACCTGCTTACCAAAAGTGTAGTAAACTCTGAAGTTAAAGCCTTCAAAAATCTCAGGTGCCTTGGGTTTTCATCTTGCCTACTAAAAATTTGCCCAGCTTTGCTACTGGTAATATGACCCTCACATCAAATTCTGAGAGCTATCAACACTGCTGAATATCTCATTCCTTTGCCCTCTTTGTATCACGGGAAATCTTCCTGCAGCAGGTTCTTCTGTATTCCTCTAGCAGACTCAAAAGTTATGTCTAAGCAGTTACAGAGCCACCTCTAGCAGTGCCATTAGCCCACAGTCAGAAAAATCCAGAGTATCAGCTAGCCCTTGCAATTGCTATGCCTGAATGATCTACATATTTAAGCTCGTATTTATTTATATATAGCCCAGCTCTTAATCTAGACTCTTGCTAAGCTTCTGCCTACCCCATCATGCCAAACATATAGATATGATGCACTTAAATGGGAATGCATTTAAATTTTGTTCCTTAACATAAACCTATCAAATATGACAGACACTATGATATAAAGAGACTAGTATAAAAAACTAAAAAGGAAAAAAAATTAAAGAGCAAAGGGTACTATAAATATACTGACTCATTCCATAGTAAAACTTTGCTCTAAGCTACAAGGTTTCATAATTAACTTGAGGAACGATTATTTTACAATTCAATCCTTTGTACTAAAGTGATCAATTCTAGCCTTTTTATATTATCCCAATTGCAATTTGATATTACTCTTTATGATTACAACGGATGTTGATATTTGTTGAAATTTTGCCAGAAGTCTGTAATTTGGGAGGTAAGTATAGAAATGCAGGCAGTATATATTGAAATAGAAATGTTAAAGCTTTACAGTCTGGTTTTTCATACTGCCGAGAAAAGATACACTTAAGTGTTTAGAAGCACCATATATACGTCTAGGGACTATTTAAAATATTTCAGCATATTGTTGTTTTTCAAAACCAGTACCAGATACTATGCAAAAGTCACGTAGCTGGTTTAGTTTACTAACTGACCTCAATTCTGCCTAGTTCAAGCTGACTTTTTCCGGCCTATGACTCTGATGGGAAATGCACTGCTAGTATGATCAAGCAAAAATCGAGAACAGAAACTTCATGTTCCTCGAGAGTAAAGCTACAACTACACGTCTCCACCAGCTCTACAGAATGCACCTGCCCATAGATGTGCACACTGCACAGAGGCTGCAGGAGACGCAGACGGGGAGAGGCGTTAGCCGGGTGCTACTGGTTTACAAAGCCACTAACTTGACAGCCAGTACAGAGCCCGTTTCGTTCCTCGCTTCTCCGTTTTGAATTGCACGCAGGGCACCCTCCGTCGGCCGTAAGGAGAGAAGGACTGGCCTGATGCTCCACAGCAATTCCGGAAGGCAGGGGCGGGAGGGGAACGGGTGTGGGGTTCGAGGATTCAACTTCCCTAGAACCGATCTCCTTTCTAGCTGACCCCTGGGAGGACAGTGCGGTCCACACGCCGGCGGGGGAGGTCGCGGCCCGCGCCCGGAGGCCA